GTCGTGGGAGAAGCGCCGCGTGGGCGGGACCTGCCGGGACGGGGCGCGCTGTCACCCCAGCCGCCCGCCTGGGAAACGGGGCTCCCCGCACCCACCAACGGGGCCGCCGGCTTGGGAGCTGTGAACTTGGGGCCAGGGCCTCAAGTTCGGCGTTTTCCCTGCAGCTTGGCTCAGCTGGGGGGAAGGCGCCTCACGGTGAGCTGAGCCCAAAGGAAACAACAGGTGACAGGGAACATGGGGGCGGGGCTGGGGCGCCCGCCTGGGCCCACCCTCACGGGCTCTGTGTCCTCAGGCCGGCCGGTCCTTGGATGGCGACAGCCCCTGCGGCGCCCAGGCCTGGGAGGAGCTCAGCGGCTTTGGGGAGGCCAGAGGAGCCCCACCCACGTGTGTGGCCTCCGGCTGCCCCATCCTCACCTGCAGGTACTGCATCTTGTCGTCCTGCAGGGGCCGCAACGGGCAGAGCTGGGGCAAGCCCTCCTCCAGGGCAGAGATCTCGTACTTGGCCACCCTGTCCAGGGCCACAAAGTCGCCTCCGTAGCCATAGTCCAGGGCGCGCTCCAACACCAGGTCCGAGGCACTGCCGCCTTCCAGGCTGGTCTCTGCGGGGTGGAGCAGAGGCTTAGGGCCATGGAAAACTTGGGGGCATCTGGGAGAGAATCCCTGGGATACCTCCACCCCAACACACACAAAGCAGGGGCTGGTGAGCTGAAAAGGGAAGGGACAGGGTCCTGGGTTCAAATCGAGACCATGCCAGCCTTTAGCTGTGAGACCAGGAGGGATGTCACACCCTGGCGGCAGGACCTGGGGCTAGCTCCGAAGCCTTGAAGAATAATAAATACACTGGCCGTAGGGAGGGCTCAGCCTGGGTGATGTCTCTGAGGGGAGCAGAACCTGGGTCTATGGGAGCACCTGGGGCAGGTCATTGGAGATCCCTAAGGCTGGATGAGGTGATCCCTGGAGCTCAGGGGAACACATGCAGTTTGTGTCCATAGCTCCTGTTAACCCGAGCATTAGATTAACTGGAACCCAGGGCAGCCAAGCCAGACAGAAGAGTGACTTAGGGGAACCCAGCTTGGTCCCTTAGGTGTTCAAGTACATTTGGAGGTGACACAGGGTATCTGGCAGTTGAGGACGGGGCCACCCAAATGCCACGGGGGGGTCACCTGACAGCTGTTTTCCTGCTGACCCCAGTGACCTCATCCGGACGCCAGTCTCCCTGGGGCCACCCTCAGGCCCTCCTCACCATCATCTGAGTCCTCATCGTTGGCCATGAGCGCCATGCACTTCTCCCAGACAGCCTTGAGGTCGGCCCGGTAGCGATCACAGGCCCAGAGGAACACAGGCAGCAGCAGGGCCTGGGCCACAGAGCACCACAGCACACAGAGCACCATCCAGGGCGCCGAGGCGTCTGCCCGCAGGCTGCTGAAGCTCACCACCTGTGGGCACAGGGCTCAGCCAGGCACCCGGCAGGGCCCCCGTCACATGACCTCCCTCCCAGCCTCTGTCTTCCCATCTGGATGGTGGTCCAACAAACCCACTGCTAGGGAAAGAGGAGGCTGGCTGCTGGCGGGGGGCGTCCCTGCCCTCTGAGGGCGAGAGGGACAGTCACACCCTCGTGTGGCACAGCCTTCACAGTGTTGGGGCCACACTGGCCAGCTCTTCTCTCGTGTCACCCTCATGACTGCCCATGGAGAGGGGCATGGATAATCTCTCCTTTTAGAGGTGAGGAAACAGGTTTGGAGAGCCAGGTCTCAAGTCCATTCAGGGACTTCTCTGCTTGGCCAGGGGCCTCCTTGGCCCTGCTCCTACTCTGAGGATCTCCAGCTCAGATACCAGAGGAGATTCAAAGGCCACAGCATCCAGCCAGGTGGCCTTTGGGTCACTGCTTAGGGACCCCTCATTCCTCCTCTCCCAGAAGAGCTCTCATTGCCCCCACCGCCCACCTGGAGTGAAATTTAGCAACTGCCACAACAGAGCAGAAGTGTGCATGGTGCAGACACTACGCTGGCTCTACCGTCTGCAAGCTGTGTGACCTGCAGAATGCTGCTAAACCTCTCAGGGGTTCAGTTTCCTCGTCTGTGAAATGGGCTAAGGACACTCCATTACAGAGGGTGAGGTAAAGGTTCCAGACATGGATTGTAACAGGCCAGTGTGGCTCATAAACAGAAACAGTGCCCCCTTCCCTGCTCTGAAGACAAGCTGGGTGGCCCCTGCCCCCTCCTATGCTCCTCCCTCACAGTGGCCCCCACTCTGCTCCCACAGTGCTTTGTGGTTCTTGGCAGTTTCACTCGGTTTTTTTCCCTCCACTGTCACAGGAACAGGGGACACCAGGCCCCACTGTACACATGAGGACCCTGGGTGGGGGGAGAAGTGCCAGGCCTGCTGGGGGTGAGGCAGTGCAGGCTGCGTCCTGAGCAAGTCCTGCCTCCCCATCACCCTTCTGGAGCTCATGTCCTGCGGTGACTCCATGGACGCAGCCCTGTCCTGCTCCTGGGACGAAGCCTCTCAGTTTGGTCCTGGCCCCTGGTCCCTCCCCGTCTCATTCTGGACCTTTTCGGGGCTGGGCTGAGGCCCCAAGTGTGGGAAGGCTCAGCTGCTGAGTCCAGATTTCATTCTTCAGCTTCACTGAAAGGACCGCAGGCAGACCCTTGTTGACCCTGACCTTGACCTTCCTTGACCCTTAGGATCAAGTGCAACTTGTTGGCCCTCACCTTGGCCTTCCCCAGCCCTTAGGATCCAGGGCAACTCCCCAACAGACATTCAGCTCTGCCCCAGCCTTGCCCTGTCTCCTGATCCAGTGTCCTACCTACCTGTGGCACCAAAGCTCCCTCTGCCCATCCTGGGACCTGGATGCCCTAGGAGGCCTTTGGGCATGTTACCTCGCAAGAAACTCCCCTGCAGTGTGGCAGAAAGACCCTGGGCTCTTCAGTCACCTGTGTGGGTTTAGATCCCACCGTGGCTGCCCTGACTGTACCCCTCTGAACCTCAGTTTCCAAATCTGTAAAATGGGGGTGATGATCATGCTCATCTCTAAGGACTGGGTGTGAGGATTCAACCCCCAATGCCTAGAGCGTGCCCAGCTCCGGGCTGTCCCAGAGCCCGTGCCTCCAACAGACTCCCCTAGTGGGCACTGTCACCCACCAGCACAGGGAAGCCCATGAGGCAGTCGTAGATGACGACGATGGTGGCCACGAGGCCCGTGATCTGCAGCGAGGTTCTGGCGGGCTCCGAGCCATCCACAGAGGAGCGGCGCTTGCCCTGCGCGTCCTCCACCACGATGGTGGGCACGGTGAAGGCTCGGCGGTCGGCCCGGCGCCCCCCCTGGGCAGCCAGCGTCTGGAAGAGGGCGATGGCTGTGCAGACCACGCCCATGGCCACGCTGCCGCCCACCAGCAGCAGGAAGCAGACGCCGAAGCCCAGGCCGATCTCGGCCACGATGAAGCGGCAGCCGTGGGTGTAAAAGCGCTCACTGGTGTCGTGCCAGCCGACGGCGGGCAGGGCCGACAGGATGAAGGACACCATCCAGATGCCCATGACTGTGTGCACCGCCTGCTTCTTGGTGTTGCTCAGCCTGGCACGGGGCAAGGCGGAACAGAGGGACCCGGCATCACTCACAGGGTCTCCCCAGGCCTCTGGGGACCTGCAGAGGACCCCAGCCCCCCGGCCCACCTAGGACATCAATCGTGGCACAGCTGACGTGGCGGGGCCTTGTCCCTTGTGTGGAGCGTCTCGTGCACATCGTCACACGCCTCTCTCCCCAGCATGCCCCAGCAGCCCCTCCCCAGCACCCACAGGTGTGGCCACGTGCGTGCATACGGGCACGTCTTGTGTCCATGCCCGCACGGCCCCCTCTCCAAGAACCCTAGACATTCAAGTGCTCACCGGTAGTTGACAGGCCAGCGGACCATCCACATGCGGTGGTAGGAGAGGGAGGTGACGGAGAAGCAGGTGGCCAGGGTGAGGGTATAGAAAGTGGACACGAAGACCTTGCAGAGGCCCTCGTTCCACTCGTAGTCGGGGCGCTGCCGCCGCAGCTGCACCACAGAGTAGGTGGCGATGGGCACCGCCACGTTGAGCATGTGGGTGGCCGCCAGCATGCACAGCAGGAACTCCAGTGGTTTCCACTTCTTCTGCTTGGCGCCCACACTCAGGATGCCCCAGGCGTTGGCCAGCAGAGAGAGGCCCCCACACGCCAGCCAGCCCACCGCGCTGCCTGGCAGCCGCTGCTCAGCACTCATGGTGCAGACCAGAGCTGGCGGGCGGCCGGGGCATCCTCCTTGGAGCCAGGCCTCGGGGAGTGGCCCTCACACTCAGCGGCTCAGGGACGCCAGGGGCCACGAGCATCTGTGGGGGAGGCAATGGGCACTCAGTGACTTCTCCCTGGCTTCGGTGTGGGAACTCTTAGGGCTTCTGGATGGGAGATGGGGAGTGCTTTGGCTTGAATGCCCCCTCCAGCACTCATGGCGAGATGTAATTATCACTGGGACAGTATCAAGAGGTGCAGCTGGTTTTTTGTTGCTGTTGTTTGTTTGAGTTAGGGTCTCACTCTGTCATCACCCAGGCGGGCACGTAGTGGAACGATCACAGCTCACCACAGCCTCAACCTCCTGGGCTCAGGTGATTCTTCCGCTTCAGCCTTCCAAGTAGCAGGAACCACAGGCACGCACCACCGTTCCCAGCTAATTAAAACATTTTTTTTGTAGAGACGAGGTCTTGCTATGCTGCCCAGTCTAGACTCGAACTCCCGGGCTCAAGCCATCAAGAGGTGGGAATTTTTTAAGAGGGTAATTAGGCCATGGGTAGGTTTCATGCCTTTACAAATGGGCTTCTGGGCGTGGGTTCTCTCAGCTCTTCCTTCTCTCACCATGCAAGGAATAGCGTTCCTGCCTTCGGCGGGACCCAGAGCTCAAGGGACCATCTTGGAAGCAGAGACCAGGCCTTCCTCAGATACCAAGCCTGCCAAAGCCTTGATCTTGGACATCCCAGTCTCCAGAACTATGAGAAATAAATTTCTTATCTTTTTTGTTTTGTCTTTTATTTCTTTATTTTCAAAGAGGCTGCCCAAGCTGTCCTCAAACTCCTGAGCTCAAGCGATCCTCCTGCCTCAGCCTTCCGAGTAACTGGGATTACTGGTACACACCACCGCCCCACACAAGACATGTATTTCTGTCCTTTATAAACTACTTAGTCTCAGGTAGTCTGCTATAGCAGCACAAATGGACTAAGACCGGGAGGGCCCCAGAGCGCCATTACCTGTCTGGACCTGGCTTACACCAGGCTGCTACACCCTCCTCTCCAACCCCCTGTCCATGCCCCTGGCACCAGGGGGCTGCATACAGGGGTGTTCTCTCACTTCCACCTACTCCTGGTCAAGGCTCGGAATCTGGGCTTCCTTCCAAGCCACCTGTGTCCTCAGAGAACCAGCCAGGCTGGGCCCAGGTAGGCACTCTTGCCCACGTGCGCCCTGACCCCGTCCCAGAGCAAGCCTTCTCGCCATCCAACGTGCAGAATCCTCACACGGCACAGCCAGGCCTCCCCAGCAGACATCTCTGGGCCTCTTGCCTTAATTCGTCCCACTTCACTTGGCCAAACGAGGACATGCCTGGGAGGGCTATGCCCCCAAACTTCCCTGTCCCTCTCCTGATCCCAGCCCCAGAGGCAGGGGGAGCTGGCCACCATTTTCATGCCCACCTGCGAGGGCAGTCTGCTTTGTCAGCCCCCATCTGGTCTTCTACAGCTGGGAGCCCGGGCTGGGTGAAATCCCTCGTACAGTGGCCATGGGTCTCAGGCAAGATGCTTAACCCCGTCCTCCTCTAATGGGGCCTAAAATGCTGCTTCCATGGCAAGGCTGGGTGGACAGGCTCCACATCGCTAAAGCCGTGGGCCCAAATCTCACACACAGTAGGTGCTAGGGGGTGGCGGTAACTTGTGCTGGGCCCAGGCCTTGCACACAGTGGATGCTGTGGAACAGTGGGTGGTCAGTATCATGCCCTGGGCCGGGGTCTTGCGTGGGGTGGGGGTTGGTATCATGCCCTGGGTTGGGGTCTCACACACAGTGGGTGTTGTGAGGTTGTGGTTGGTACCATGCCCTGGGTCTGGGTTGCACACAGTGGGTGTCATGAGGCAGTGGTCAGTGTTGTTTTGTGGGCCTGAATCTTGCACGCAGTGGGTGCCGTGGGGCAGTGGTATCGTACCCTGGGCCTGGGCCTCACACACAGTGGGGATTATGGGACAGTGGTCAGTATTGCAGACTGGGCCCAGGTCTTGCACACAGTGGGTGCTATGGAGTGGTGGTCGGTGTCATGCCCTGGGCCGGAGTCTTGTGGTGGTCAGTATCATGCCCTGGGCTGGGGTCTCACACACAGTGGGTGTTGTGAGGTGGTGGTTGGTATCATGCTGGGCCTGGGTCTTGCACACAGTGGGTGCCATTGAGCAGCGGTCAGTATCGTACCCTGGGCCTGGGTCTCGCACACAGTGGGTGCTGTGGGGTGGTGGGTTGTTGGTATCATACCCTGGGCCTGGGTCCTTCACACAGTGGGTGCTGTGGGGTGGTGGTACCATGCTCTGGGCCTGGGTCTCGCACACAGTGGGTGCTGGGGGCAGTGGTGGGTATTGTGCTCTGGGCCCGGGGCTTGCACACAGTGGGTGCTATGGGGCAGTGGTGGGTATCATGGCCTGGGTCTTGCACACAGTGGGTGCTCTGGGGTGGTAGCTGGTACCATGCCCTGGGCAGGGATCTTGCACATAGTGGGTGCTGTGGGGGTGGTGATCAGTGTTATGCTCTGGATGGCATGGGCAGCATGGGCCTGGAGAAGGCCCATCGACCAGAGCTTGACTCTTAGCTGCAACTGCCGCCTGCCCCTGGACGTGAGCCAGTGATGCGAGGTGCTGGCAGGAGGCGCCCCATCGTGCCTGAGGGCTGGGCAGTGAGCCCCGCCCTCCCCCTTCCCAGCCTAGCAGCCTTCAGTTGCCTCCCTGCGAGGAGCCCTGGCCAGTCCCTCTGGGGCAGGTGTTATGGGGAGAAGCAAAGGCCAAGGGCTTTTGCTCTGCTGTCGTGCCTCAGTTCTGCTTGCCAAGGGCTGTTTGATTTGCTGCGTTCCTCACGCCCCAATATGTATGGGCATCTACTGTACCAGATCAGCCACACAATCCCCAGGGAGGAAGTGTCTCCAGCTTGGGAAGGAGAGGCCACCGCAGCCTCAGCCAAGGACCCTGGCTCTCCAGCAGGGAAAGCGACGCCATCCCGGCCAGCTGGTAGGTCCACTGCTTGTCTTGCTCAGAGTTCTTTGGGTCTGTCTGCAGCCGGACTCCCTCTGGACATTCAGGGGCCTCTGAGGTCTCATTCACCTTTGTGCTCCTGCCCTGGTCCCGCCCAGACCCCTGATCCAGAAAAGGAGTCCAGTCTAGAAGATACTGGGGCTCCTTAGTGGCCTCCTGGGTGGGGGACTGCTACAGCCGGGGACGTGGCTTCCGAACAGTTATTAGGTTTCTCCTTACAGAGCGGCCCCCTTTCTCCATCCCAGACCCAGTGGGGGCAAGGTGGCCCCATCGGACTCTCCAACAGCCCTTCCTGTGTCCAATAAACCTCCCCAACTGCAGTGTAGAGGCCACATGGTATAGGAGAAGGAAAGAAGACTCCATGGAGGCTGCATGACCCCAACCCCAGCTCCCCAGCTAGTCACTTGCTCCTCTGTGCCTCAGTTTCCCCTCATCTGCAAACCAGGCACGATAGTAACCTTGAAAAGTGTTGTGGGTAGCTCATGAGCTGTGCTAGGAAAGTGCTTAGAAGGGAACGCCTGGGCGTGAGGGCTCATGCCTGTAACTCCAGCACTTTGGAAGGCAGAGGTGAGAGGATTGTCTGAGCCCAGGGGTTCGAGACCAGCCTGGGCAACCCTGGCAAGACTTCATCTCTACAATAAATCCAAGAATTAGCCAGGCATGGTGGCACACGCCTGAAGTTCCAGCCACTTGGAAGGCTGGGGCAGAAGGATTGCCTGAGCCCAGCAGATCAAGGCTGCAGTTGCCGTGAGCATGCCACTGCACTCCACATTCCAGCCTAGGTGTCAGAATGAGACTCTAACTCAAAAAAAAAAAAAATGAGCCGGGCTCAGTGGCTCAGCCTGTAATCCCACGCCTTTGGGAGGCTGAGGTGAGTGGATTGCCTGAGCCCGCGGGTTCGAGACCCGCCTGGGCAGCGAGACCTCATCTCGCTACAATAAATCAAAAAATCAGCCGGGTATGGTAGCGCACGCCTGTAGTTCCGGCTACTCAGAAGGCTGAGGCAGAAGGATTGCCGGAGCCCAGCAGGTCGAGGCTGCGGTGGTCGGGAGCGGCCACTGCACTCCAGTCTGGGTGACAGAGTGAGACTCTAACACACAAAAAAAAAAAAATGAAGAGAGCTGGACGTGCAGTAAGCACTCAATAAATGCTTGCCATCTACATGTTTATCTTAAAGCCCTCCCAGCTCACTGAACTATGCTGCCTTGTAAGGGCCAAGATGCTGAGTGTGGCAGTATGGTGGACCTCAGATCTGTGGGCAGGTACATACTCACCAAGATCTGGGACAGACCAGTCTTTGGGGTGACTGGAGGCCTGCTGTGGGTTCCAAGCAGAGTGTGGGCCGGCGCTGTGGACCAGAAGCCACAGATATCATTGGTCTTTACACGAACCCGGACCCAGCATGCACCTGGCAGGCCATCGTCTATTTCTACCTGCACTGGGCCGCCTCAGCTGTCAGATTGGGAAGCCTCCCTCAGATGCCTGACAGGTTGTCTGACCACTGTGACTTTAGCTCAGTCCGCTCTGTCCACGCATTGATATCTGGTGCAGGGTGGTGAGGAAGGAGCCATCGGCTGCCACCAGCACAACCCTTCACGGTGCCAGTGCTTCCCCATGTCTGGCTACCAGTGTCTTGCTGCAGGGAAAGGCAGGAATCCACCCCATGCAAACTGGCACATGCCTCCCAACCAGTGTCCACAGCAATTCTGTGTAATGGCTACTGTCGTCATCCATTTTATTTATGGAGATGGGACTTGCTATGTTGCTCGGGTTGGAATCGTTCCCCTGGCCTCAAGTGATCCTCCCACCTAGACTTCCCAAGGTCTCAGATTACAGGCATGAGCTACTGTGTCTAATCTCACCCCCATTTTATTAAATTAATTAATTTGTTTTTTTGAGTTGAAGTCTCACTCTGTCACTCAGACTGGAGTGCAGTGGCCACTCCCGGCCACCGCAGCCTCGACCTGCTGGGCTCCGGCGATCCTTCTGCCTCATCCTTCCAAGTACCTGGAACTAC